ATACAGTCACATTACAATTATTATACATGTATTATGCATTATGACTATTTACAAATAAATTCTTAAACTTATTTTCTTAAAAATAGAACAGTAAATAAAGAAGTAAAGCAAACAATTATCTCTTCTAGTTAAGACCTATGTACTCATTTGCTGCTTATCATAGGTTGCTAAGCCTTATGAAATTTCCCATGTGGAGGATGTGAAAAGAAAATGTTTTTTAGGTTTTATGTCTACATCTTAAATAACCACAAAATCATAAATTACTATCTTGATACCATAGAATTCCACTATAATTTATCAAGCGTAGTAACTAAGCTGTATTTAGGTCTAAAAATATGAAATTTTGAGCTCACTAAAGACCTCATCGCTTGAAATCTTGTGTGAAAGAAAGAAATAAGAACAATAACATGTCAAAATGGCTGAGAAAACCACTAGGGGGACATTGTGAGCTTTTGATTGGTTATTCATGTCCTCTATAGAAGTAAGTGTATATATAAGGGACTGTTTCCAGAGAGAGAGGTGGGGGGGGGGCACTGTGTTTGATTCACTACAGGAGTGATAAGCAAAAAGAAATGATAAGAGGTTCTTATTTTATATTTTAGCTCTTCAATATTGGTAGTTTGAGTTCCTAATTTGTATGAAACTGTAGATTTTGTATTTTGACATCACAAACATCTAATTTGAACCAGTGCCGCATTCAACATACCATGTGGCACACAAAAAACAAATCGATGTTTTGCTGTATTTTTATTATTTACTTTTAAGTTAAGAAATTAATTAATGTACAATATTAAAATTTGAATTATAATCTACAATTTGATACCAAATTTATCAACATACATTTGTAAAATAGTAGTTCAATAACATTTTGAAGGCAAGTCAACAAATATAATGACATGGCCTTTGATTAATTAGGGTTAATTAGTGCATCAAATAAAAGCATATGCTGATTTTTAAATTTAAACAGGTCACCTCTAATGCTCAAGTTTGTATTTCTATACTTTTCATTGTTCCAATCAACAAAACAATTTCAGTTGAACTGAGCCCTCAGAATAATAACACATGGCCAGGTGGTTAGGGAGCTCGACTCACAATCTGCAGGTCGCGGGTTCGATTCCCCATCACACCAAACATGCTCGCCCTTTCAGACGTGGGGGCGTTATAATGTGACGGTCAATCCCACTATTCATTCATGTCACAGTTTGAAGTCTTTTTTAAAAAGAAAAAGGGTAATTTAGATTTATTTTGTATTTTTTTATGGTGGTTACTAGGTCAGTCAAATTGACCAAACATATATAGAGTTAGGGTAGAGAAAATAAGAGATAAAATATAAAGTTTTACTGAAAACAAAGGTATGATATTTATTTAATAGGTTTTACAGATTATGCGAATAAAATTTGACAATTTCCAGATTAAGAAAATTATTTTTAAATCTTAATATGAAAATCAGTTTGCATTTGGAGCAATTAACAAACTGACTCCATATATTCATATTTGATTAAGAAATCTGACTTTAGTGTACAAAAGACTTGTAATGTTTGCTGAAAGCTTGTTAAATTTTATGAAGATACACAAAACATATTAAAAGTTATAGTATGGAAACTGATAGTTACTTTAGGGTTACAAGATTGGTCGCATTGATTGAGCCCATAGCGAGATGGTTAATAGACCCAAATAATGTGATCACTTGGGTATGGGCTTGGTGATCAGAGTACTGCAGGTCCCAGGTTGAAATTCACTCTCCAAACATGCTCACCCTTTCAACTGTGAGATGGACAATCTCACTTTTAATTTCTAAAAGAGTAACCCAAAAATTGTTGGTAGGTGACGTTGACTAGCTGCCTTTCCCTCTAGATTATCACTTCAAAATTAGGGATGGCTAGTAAGATAGCTCTCAAGTAGCTTTCTTTTCTGGGGAAACCCTGAAATACATTGTTAAATAAAACTGGTTTTCTGTATTTGTTCTTCAGACATTTGAGCTTCATACATTTTTGAATTGGTGTAGCTTTAAGATTCTCTTCTACTATTTTTTTTTCTACTAATACACAAGCTCTACTTTCTCATTTTGTGCTCTCACAGATGCAACTTGAACTGCATCACTCTGTACATCAGATTCCAAGAAATAGGAACTAGTTTGATCAGGAAACTGAAGACAAATGTTACTCCATATCACTGTGTATTCTTCATTTCGTTCAAGCCACAGTCTTGTAGCCATTCATTCTGAACAACACGTTTGTATTTTTTTCATACTCATATTTTTCCTTCTTATTGGAAGTTCATTTGCAACAGATGTATGTTCTTGTTTAGTTTCTGTTAGAGCAGTAACTAGCTTGATCTACAAAAGCATTTTAAGTTTGTTTTACAGCTTTGGTTTTGAAAAAATGAAAGTCAGTTATTTTACATGAACTTCCATTGATTATTTGAAGGAGTTAATTTATAAAAAATTGGTTTTATTTATTAGCTTTTTTTATCTACATACATGACTAATGTGATGAAATATTTCTTTTTCAGGTTTCAATGTGGAAACAGTGGAATATAAAAACATCAGTTTTACAGTGTGGGATGTTGGGGGTCAGGATAAAATCAGGCCACTGTGGCGTCATTACTTCCAGAATACTCAAGGTAGAGTTTCTTTTGTCTCTTTAACTATACATATTAACCCTTTTGCCAGGGGTATCCTTTACTGCGCATGACACAAGGTTTTAGTGTCTTACATTCAAAATTTTATTAAACTAGTTTGGTATGCTAATTAGAATAGCATAAAATCTCAGCTAATAATCCATATTTTAATAGTATACAAGTTTTAAGCTCTTAATTCTATAAGGTAATATTTAAAAAAATCCTGAATTTCCACTAGTGTGACCCACGTGACACATTTTCTCTTAGTATGTCATTATCCCTATTTTATTCACCACCCCTAGAAAAAGTACAAAATTAAACATAAATTACTCTCTATAAAATCATTATTACTCAGACAAACCATAATTTTTATAGTTTTCAATTTTGTTTGGTTACAGAGCTATCAAATAGAAAATCGGATCCCTCTTGCTACGCCCATCTGTCACATCCTCTCTTTCAGAATTAGTTGATAGTTCT